ATTTCTAAAAAGCCAAAGAACACCCTTCTAGGATCAAAATTGAGAGAGTTGTGCATTGTCAAAGTTGGCAATTTTTGGAAAATTGTCAAAGTCAACATTGATCAAATTGGCATTTTTTCCAAAGGGGCCCATGTTTTCTTGCTTGAAACATGTTTATAATAGGACCCACGACCCCTGAGCTCATTCAACTCTTATTTTATTATTTTTATCATTTATTTTAATTTTTTATTCATTTAAATCAAAATAAATCAAATTAAATGGTAAAATAATGAAATCAAATTAAATCTTGGAATTTTTGTGCACATTTTGAGTCTATATACAACTAGCATGATGGCCAAGTCGTGCAAGATTCATTTGGATTGGAAAAGATTGGATTGAAGCTTATTTTGGGAAGATATCATACAAAGAGCAAATCAAATTAGATCTCCATTATTTCTCAAGATTCATGCCAATTTTATTAACCTAATTCAGTCTACTACATATACACAATAATTCCAGAGCATAAGCATAAGGATTGGAGGCGTGAAACAGCAAGAAAGAAGCCAAAATTTTGTAAGAAAAGTGTGAGACCTATTTTTATCTACAGGCCAATTCAAGCCAGTCCAACGTTTCCAATCGATTCCTGGACATCCCAGGAAGCTAACAACATCATTTGCAAGCCTCAAAGCATCCAGAAATCATCCCCAAAAGCATCACGGTTTGCCCTAAAACTCAAACTCGATTTCAATGTTTTACGCATCCTAAACGCATGCTAATCATATATTTATGTTTATCATCTTGTTTGCAAGCTACCTGTACCCTTTAATTGCATTTACCGTGCAGGAATCCATAGTTGCCATTGTTAGGGTTTCTGAGATGTTTTTTAGGGCTTTGTTATACAGGTAAAATTGGCCATAGAAAAGAGTACTAGGATGCTCGTGGCATCAAGGCAGTTTGATCCATGTAACTGGAATTCATTTATCATGTGTTGTGTTGATTTTTGAGAATTGCAGGTTTTTAGCTATGGCTGATTGTCCGTGGGTAAAAGCTTTGAACCTAAGGCAACGGTTCCCTGGAGGAGACGGTGCGTGTCACAGCGTGGTTGGTCCATTTGAATTTGGCGCGCATTCTCTGGCCACTAACTCGTTTTCTAATATATTATATGTTTGTTATTATATTGACAATTGAGATAAACAACCCAGTTGGTCAGGAAGCGTGCCTTGGATGTGCATGTCCTGGGTTCGATCCCAGGGGTGCGCATTTTGTTATTTTCTCATGTGTTTCAGGAAGATCTCATGTACTTCTCTCCAGCACGCGTACCATGGGCTTGCAAATCAATACCACTGGATGACATAGTGACCAGATCTGAGGGCCATCAAGCAGCGTACCATGGTGCACCCACATGCATGGTCAGCATGGGATCTCACGCTAACTGGGCTTGAAGGGATTTTGGGCCTTGGAAATTTAGATCTTCACCCCCCATTTGCTAGCACATACAGGCCCAATTCTCAATCTTTCTTTTTTATTTATTTTATTTTCTTTATTCTTTTCAATTTATTTATTTATTTTATTTTAAAAAAATAATTTTTTTATAAAATCATAAAATCAAGAATTTACAAATTTAGAATTAGTTTTTTATTATTATCAAATTTATTTTTTTAATTAATTATCTTAATTTAATTTAGGGTAACTTTAACTCATTTTTACAATTAAAATTAACTAGAAAAATTAGGTTTAATTCTTGATTTAATTATTTTCTTTTTGCAAAAAAAAATAAAAATACAAAAATAGGTTATTTAGAATTAATTACTTTTCATTAATTTATTTATTTTCCTAAATTAATATTAATTAGAACTTAGGATTTTCTTTGCAATTTAATTATTCTTTATTTTCTTAAATAAAAAACGACCAAAAAATGATTTTCTTTAATCAATTGCAATTAGGTTTAGTCAAGGGTCAAAACCCTGATTTCTCTCGCCTTTAATTTACCGCGCATTTTTAATTTTCTTTCCTATTATTATTGTAACTGTTTCAAGGTTGTAATAGTTTTAATTAGGGTTTTAAATTCCACACTTTTATTTCCCGTCAAGGCAATTATGTAATTGTCAAAGTCATGTAATAGCTAGGTTTATTTCCGCTTTTTACTTTCTGCAAATTCTTAAATGTTAGATGTATGCTAATAGGACTGTATGACAAGAATGCATGAAAAATTAATACAGTTAGAAAACCCTAATGTGCAAAGATAATAAATTGAAATCAAACACTCACACATGCTCACTCTTAGGGTATACTCTCACTTCGGTTGCCTTCGGTTAAACGGCCATGAAGCATAGGATGTTTTAGTGGCTATCCTCTATGTCCCAAAAGATCTAAAATGACTCATTCGACTGTCACCTCGGAAAAGATCGGTAGGACTCTAGGATGGTTACTAAGGTGTCCTAACATTGCTTTTGTGACAGCACGTCCCTTTCAATGGTCCCTTACAACTCCAACGACGGTGCTACCTACTCCTTAATAGTAGGATAGTGCTGTCTAAAGGAAATAGAACGAACAATCCTTTTTTTGAGTAGGTAGAGTCTTAAGTACTTGCTCAATAAATTTTTTTCACACAAACACCTTTCAAAACAAATTTTCAAAACAAACTCCGTCACATCCTTGAGGACTGATACAAGGGTTATCACGAAGTAAAATATTTTCAAGACAAACACACACAAGCAATTTGAAAAATGAGCAAGTACCTAAGAGTCCGTAGATAACTACGGATAGAATGGGTGCTAACACTTTCCCTTTCTATAATCTATCCCCCGTACTCAGAATATCTCGAAAGAAGGTTTTTTCTGTTCTTTTTCCTTTTCCATGATTGGATGAAATAAAAGTCGATGGCGACTCTTGCTTACCGCGACATTTTGCGAACACAAAACACAAAACATAAACCAGTAAAAACAGTCGGTTCTGCCACCGTATCACAGATACGATATAACCTATATATATCACCCAGTAATAAATACCTATTACTTTTTTCTTGCCGCTTTAGCGCTCCTGCACCCCACAGTTGATGCTCCTGTTGTTGTCCTTCGTATGATTGTTGATGAGATTTTTGCAGCGTACTTTGATCATCTGATACTAGAAAATATAAGTCGTGTACTAGTTCCTTGTCTATGAATTACATTATACAACTACATCCAATGATTTTATAGAGTGTAATGTCCTTACATGACACCACATGTAGAAAAAGATCCTCAAGGTCAGTTCATCAAGAGATCTTAGAGGAAGAGTAGGCGAGTGTGAACCATATTGTTGATGTGTTACCGATATGTCACTCCATTGTGGCTATTGGGAGATATGCCATAGCTAGGGGCGAGTTTGTGGAAGGCACTCCTTAGATGACCACTCTACATGACATCTTAGCAGAGACACATCATGCTCTGCATACCTACGACAAATAAGGAACATCGGCGTCAGAAATACACAACAGTGAGATTTTATTTTATATATTTTGACATTTTTGTATTATAATTTATACTTGAGTTGATTATGACATGGTAAAATTTTGTATTTGACATTTTGTCACATATATACGCAGTAATTTCTATTTTGATCTTATTACTGAATGAAAAATGTGTATGATTTATTGTGTAATTGATTTATAAATTGGCTTATAATATAAATTTATTAAAAAATGTCAAATTTTTTCAAATTTATTGTCAAAGGGTGAAAAATAATGTCAAATGGTTAATTCGAAGATTGAAATCCGAACCTATAATACAAAGAATGAAACCGAACCAATTTTTAACAAAAATGAAACGCCTCAATCATAAAGTAGTTTTTTTTATAGAACGAGAGCATGTCAAGATTTTGAAATTCAAAATATAAAAAGAGCATTTTGAAATTTCCATAATGTATGTGATCGCTGCATAGGAGTGCTCAAATTAACTGGATTTTTGAATTACATATTTAAATTTGGTCACTAAAAATCGATTATTTATTAATATAATTTTAGCCAAATTCATATTTTATATATATTATTAATATGATTTTAGCCAAATTTATATCTAAAATAAAAATTGAATTAGTCTATTTTTAAAATCATAAAATATTTTAAATTTATATTTATATTTTAAAATTTTTTGGGAAAAATATTTTTTATATATATTTTTCTTTCTAAATACTTTTTTATTTTATTTTTGGAAAACAATATTTTTTTAAAAATAAAATAAAAGTTTTTATATTTGTTAATTAAAAAAAATCAGAAAACGGAAAAATACGCTTTTTTAAATTTGAAAAAAAAAAGTTAATTTTCTAAAAAAAACATTTATTGTTATTTTGGAAAAAAAACATTTTTTTAAATATAAAAAAATATGTTTTTAAAAAAAATTGAAAAACATATTTTTTCTACAGAAAAATTCTTTTTTTTTTTAATTATAAAATTGATTATAAATAAAATCGTTTAGTAACTAATTTATAACCATTTAAAAAATAAATTCGATTATGACAATTAATTTTAATAATCAATTATAACATATGAAATACTATGTGGTTATGAATTAGTGATGGAAATTAACCGTTCCTATCACTAAATAAGGTAGTGTGATCAACACCCATAAATTATATGAATATGAAGTTCAATATAATTTTTTTTAAACAAGTCCAATAAAGCAATCATTGCAAATAAATTTTGCATAAGTTATTGAGTTCCGTTTGTAACCTACTAATATACTCCACTTATTACAGAATAAATATTTATGATAAATAAATAATATTTTAAAATGTGCATGAATTTTCAATTATATATAGAGTGAAAATGACCATAGAAAAAAAAGTAGTAGAGATTGTATAAGCTATTAGTAAATCTTACAATGAAATATCTTTTCTATTCAACTTCATTTCATTTTAAACTTTCAAACAAACCTTACTGTCATATAAACTGATAAAAGTTCCAACAAATATTGTTACAACATTTTTCTCTGTCAACTTGATTACAAACCAGTATCTCAAAAGGCACAATCTCATTTTTATTCAATTCAAGAAGACAACTTACTTTTCGAAACAACGTCAAAAGATATTCCATTTTGTTGGAGTCTTTGTTGCAAATCAGTCGAACCAAACACAATGCCGGGAGTGTAAACTCCTCCGTTTGGTAGATTATTCCTTTGACTAAGAACAATAAGAGCACACTGAATCATAATTATTGGTGTCGTTACATAACCCAATTCGGGTCCGGTTATTCTCGTTATAACTTCCATGTCAGGTTTTGAGTTTCCGTTTGCAGCAAGTTTCTCATTGCTGCTATAACCATGTCCAACAAACCACATCTTGAATGAACAACTTTCTATTTCCTCTTCAGAAGGACCATTCTTGCTGAAACCACCTAAGCTAAAGATTGAAGGATATTTCAAAAGAAGCCGTCTTCCAAAACTTGTGCTTCCGAAAAGACCTAGGATTATACCAAACGCGATGTACCCGAAAATTCCTAGTAAAGATTTTGAGCCTAACTTCACACCAAAATGTACCGGCTTCATAGATGACCAGAAGACTTTCCTTTTCTCAACCGTTTCGAGACTCTCGTTTAATCCAGGGAGACCGTCAGGGTTTTCTGTTAGAACCGAAAATGTTTTTCCGACAGATGTTGCGTCTGCTGAAGGTAGTGTTATTCCCCATAGGCCAATTTTTTTCTGGTGTTCTATTGTTTTTCCTTTAGGAAGAGGACCTGGAATCTACAAACATGCATGATTAAGATTGGTGAAATTTCAGAGTATATGAAGAAGTATGTTAAAAGGAGAAACAGATTAACACAAGGTCAACCACACAAGATTACATAAGTTTGTGTAAAACAAAGTTGTCAAACTTAGCAGAAAATGGTTTGTTCAAAGTCTGCTATGATACAACCATCACCACCATAGGCGCTATTTGTGTAAAACAAAGTTTTCAATCATGGATTGCAGAACATAGCGGGAAATGGTTTGTTCAAAGTCTGCTATGATTCAAGACTTTGTACTAAATAAATAGCATATCAATTAAATAAATAGCATAAATAAACATCAAAAAAATTCTGATGTTAGTGGATGATCATGGGAGTGAGATTCGGGATCCGGCTGGGCTCAGTACTGTAGCGACAGATTACTTCCAGAAGCTTTTCCATCAACCCAGAATTACAAATGAAGATAATGTAAAGCTTCTTGCTCCTATTACTAAAGAAGAACTATTCGAAGCGTTACGCCACATGCATCCGGATAAAGCCCCGGTTCCTGACAGGTTTAATCCGGCCTTTTACCAGCAGTTCTGGAACATTTGTGGTGAGGACATTTTTGGTGCGGTCTCGCTTTGGTTGGATCGAGGCTTCTCTCCGAGCAGCCTTAACGATACGAATATATGTCTCATTCCAAAATGTGATAACCCGACGAGCATGAAGGATTTGCGTCCAATATCGCTTTGTAACGTGGTGTATAAAAGGCCGGAAACTTTAATGTATATGCAGGGTTTAATACACAAGTTGGATCGACTAATAGAGGTTAGTGTTTTCGGGATAGTTCCGGAAACTTTATGTTGGCAGGTACCTCGTGGGATGTTGGGATTTATTCTACCATTGAAGCCGAGGCTTTAGTTTTAAAGGAAGCGATTCAGGTAGCTATTGAGATGCAGTGGGATCATATTATTTTTTAGAGTGATTCTCAATTGGTCGTGCATGTCGTTAACGCTAGTTTTGCGGGTACCTTTAAATTTAGCATGATTATTATTAGTATTAAACATTTTCTTGTTTCTCACCATAACTTTGAGGTTAAGTTTGTAAAACGTCAAGCGAATTCGGTGGCTCATAGCTTAGCAAGGGTGACCAATTCATAGGCTAGACCTATGGTTCTACATATGATTGCTCCTTGTATTGAACATTATTTGGATAATGATATGAATTAAGTTTGATTTTGTCAAAAAAAAAAAAAATACAAAAATTTATGTTAACGTCTGCATTCATAAAAGTCCACACAAAACAGGGCAGACAGACGGGACCCGTTTTTAACACCCTATTTACTACCTATGAAACACCCACTACTACATCAAACTCAAAATTAAGTAAACCTCATTTACTACCTATGAAGCACCAACACCAACATCTCGGTCACTACCTATGAAACATCGACACTAACACCTCAACATTTAATTACGACACTGACACTGACACTAACGCCTCAACACCTCGTTACTAGCTATGTTGAAACACCGACACTAACACCTCAACACAATATCAGCATCTCTATTAGTAGTAAGTGATTGAAAGTATTCAATCACAAATGTGAATGTTACATAGATCACCAGTCTAAGTGTGTTATTATGATACATAATATTAATTTTCATACCAGAGGTTTTGCTCTTTTGATAGCTTGTGCATCCCTTCTTTGTTTCATCTCCTTCAAATCTGCAATAGCTAAAACAGCAGATTCAAATGTACCAAAGTTACCAACAACCTTCTTCTCCGACTCAACCTTCAAAAAAGCCTCAACCCTATTCGGCAAACACTCACCAGCCCACTGTTTCAAATGAAACAACAAACCAATCTCAGCAGGAACACAGTCAAACCCACAAGCCGGAACAATCAAAGAACCATTCTTTACACCTTTTTCATGATACCCAATTTCGACCCGATCCATAAACTCAGCCTCGCCCGTTATATCCAAGTAATCACAACCCGTTTCGACGCACGCCGCCACGACGGGCTCGCCGTGAAGGCGAAAGGGACCGACGCAGTTGAGTATGAGACGGGTTTTGTGGCAGAGTGAACGGAGGGAAAGTGGGTCGGTTGTGTCGGCGACGAGGATTGGAATTGAAGGTGGTGGATCGGGTCGGGTTGCCCAGTTAAGGGTTTGGGTTAATTTTGATGGGTTTCGACCAGCTATGGCTATGGAGTTGAAATTGAGGTTGTTCTTGTTGTTGAAGAATTTGAGAGCTTGTTTGAGAACATGTTTGCCTGTGAAACCTGATGCTCCTAGGATTATGATGTCGAATGTTTCTGCTGTCGCCATCACTGTCTCTCTTCAAGTTTCTGGCTTCAATGATAGTTTTGATTCACCTATGAAATGTTTTCTAGATTTTGTAGATTTTGATGAATGCTAAAGGAGTGTTTCTGTTTTTGTTTTTGTTATGGTATTTTGGGAATAGCATGTACTAGTTCAATTTTGAAAAGAATGACTCATTCATTTATTGGATCAACCAATTCACCACACATTACTTCTCCATAGAAATTGAAAACTCAATTATTATAATTTCAGATTAGGAATGCTCATCTGAGTCACACTTCTTAGTGTTGGAAATTCATCACGATCTATATAAATTTCTATTAATTTTGATGAATAAGATTGTTACCACTATACAATAAAAAGAAAACTAAAGAAGAAAAGAGATTTAGAGTTTCTACAGAGTAACTTTTTATCTACAAACTATGAAAAACTTTTATTCACTTGCAAATGCAAATATTGTGAATGAATGAATACAAGAATAAGGGTTACTCCCTTTATTTATAGCTTTACGTTAGCTTACTCTCTAAGGCAAAAGACCTAAAACTATAAGAGTTCAAAATACCTATTTTTGAACTAAATCAAATATGTGTGAAACAACTGCTTCGACACACTATCTAGACTAATTCAACACACCTTGTACTGTGAAACATCTTGTTTCGACACAAGAAATTACACATTTAACACACCACCTAATTCATTGTGTTTAAGTTATCTATATTCATCATAGCTCTTAGTCTTCTGAATACTTCGACTTGCACACGCTTCGTCATGATGTCTTCAATCTGATTCTCAGTTCTGCAGTGTTCCAAGTTCATCTTTCCTTCTGCTACCTGATCTCGAAGATAGTGGAACCTCATCTCGATGTGCTTGCTTCGACCATGTGGTATCAGATTCTTTGTCAGGTTGATAGTTGGCATGCTGTCGATCTTCATGGTAATTTCTCCACGATCTTTCCCTGTGATTTCTTCGACCAAGCTCACCATTCATGTTGCTTGACATACACAAAGAGAAGTAGCTTTGTACTATACTTCGCACGATGATAATGTCACTACTGGTTCCTTTCTCGAACTCCAAGCAACTGGTGCACCACCTAGCATAAACATATATTCTACTGTGAATTTTCGATCGTCATCATCACTACACCAACTTGAATCAGTCTATCCAACTAACTTGTATTATTTTCCTTTATCAACTGAAAGAAACAAAATGCCATAGTCAAGACTTCCTTTTAGATACCTCAGCATCCTCTTCGTCGCTGCTAGGTGTGATACCTTTGACTTCTGCATGAATCTACTTAGCATACCTATATTATACGCAAAGCCAGACCCTTATATGACAAAGGTATCTCAATAACCCAATAAGTCTTCTGTATTGGGTTGGGTCGACAATGTAACACCCCAAAAATAATTAGATTATTTATATAATTATTTAATTAATTTATGATGAGTTTTTGTGACGTATTTGTGGTGTTTATATGATGTATTGATGATCATGATGCTTGATATGATATTTTGTGTGGTGTATGATGGGGTGATAAGAATTAAGAAGGTATAGAGTATTTTAGAATAATTTAGGTGATTAGAATAATTAATTGGAATTATTTTAATTAGTTAAATAGAATAATAATAAGAGGTAGAAGCTATGAGGGCAAAGTGGTAAATTGTGAATGGATAAGTGAGAGTAAGATGGGAAAACCATAGAAAAGGACCAAAGGTTAAACTAGGGAAAAGGAGTGTCAGTGTTCATTATGTGCAATCGTGAAAAGAGAATAACGTTGTGAAGAGAGCTAGGGCAAGGAAGAACTCATGGATTTGATAAAACGTGAAGAGAAATCAATTGTTAGGGGAAATCTAAGGTAAGGGGGGTTTATCGTTATTATTATAATTGATCTAAAGCTTAGATAATTATAGGTTGTGTTGGGGTTTGGGGATGATGATGTTATTATGATGTTTGATGATGAATCAATGAAATTTAATGTTTTCTTGTAAAGAAATGATTCATATGGTATATGATAAATTGTGTTGTTGTTATTTGATGAAACCAAATGGAATTATGAAGATTTGAGACTTATAATAATATGATGAAATCGTGTAGAAATTGGGAATGTGCAGTGCAGAAATCACAACATGGAAGTATTGATCACACTACGACGTCGGGCGGTGAATATGTGTCGTCGGGCAATGGAGCATCACTCCAGCAGCGCCGAGCGGTGAAACAGCGATGGGATGGGGTAAAAAACATAGCCCCTAGATTTTGTATGGAGAATGGTATGTTGTTGGAGAATCATAGGGTGACGCAGAAGCGAGGAGTGATTGTCGGGCGAGTGAAATGCAGCATCGAGCGGTGGAGACCAGAGGAGAATTAGTGATCTATCTCTCCCGTTGTTGGGCGAGCCCAAGCGAGTAGTCTGCTTCGTCGGGCGAGCACCAGGCGATGGACAACTGTAGTATTTTAAAGGTGTCATAACTTTAGTTTCAGGACTCTGATTGACGCGCTGTTCGAAGCGTTAGGAAGCTAGCACGCTGATATATACTTTAGTGGAATAAGAAGAGTTGCATGATGTGTTTTTCCAGTACCTATGATTTGATTAATAAGATGATTCGATGATATTTTTAATCTGGTGTATGTGTATACAATGAATTATTGATATTATGATGATGTTGTTTTGTGTTATGAAGTGTGTGATGATATTTATGATGACTATGTGAATAATGACGCGTTTAACTAGTAGTGGTCATTTGGTTATTAAGATGTTTCGTATCATACATTCATGGCATAAGTTAGGGCGTAGCTCAGTGATGGTTGCAGGATGTTGTTCCAGTGAGTTTGTAGGACGAATAGTCTTGTGATGGCCTCAATCCTATAATGTGGATTGAGTGTAATTTATGATGTGCTCTGGTTCTAAGAGGAGATCCTATTGGCGGGGATCTTTGGATAAAATGATGACGATGTCATCAGTGAAGTTTTGGTACCACATGCTTGAATCTAAGGAAGTTGCAATTCATTAATGTGGCATGGCATGATGATTTGATTGACTGATGTTTTGTGAATGCGTGTTTGTGATAATTGCTAATTAATGATATTACGCATGTCTGATGTGTATTATGATGCTTGAAGGTGTGAGTATGACATGAGGTTTTTAATGGTGTATTTCTTTGGTGTGAGTATGTAACATTAGGATGGGATCGTTTGTTTTGAATAATCACGTTGTTTTGTTTAATTTGAGATTTAAACTACCCTTGTGGTAATTTAGTTGTTTTGATTTGATGAAGTTATTTAGAAGTATATTAATAAAGATGTTTTGAATTATGAATTTCTGCTGCGAGTAAGTTGAAAACCATGGTTGTTGATTCTGGAGTACTTAACATAATTGATTTTTGAAAACCCGTGTTACAAAGCAGGATGTGTTTTATTATGAAGTTTGTTTGAAGCAAATGTAACACCTTTTTTGGTGCATTACTCTGATTTAATTATTAAACTATTTTGCTAATATTCCTTTGGATTTAGAAGGGTGTTACATTAGTGGTATCACAGCAGGTCGGTCAGTCCAACCAGGTTTTCCTATGATATATATGTCCTTTCAATCGATTAGTGTGAGTATAGTGTCGATGCGTGTTTCTGACGTTGGTTTTCTATGTGTAGAATGGCTAGAAGAAATGATGTTTCACTTACTACTGCCTTGCAGGTTGTTGCTTAGGTTGTGCAACATCAGTCCAACGCTGGTGAGGATGATGGATCTCGTGTTTTGGAGACGTCTCAGAGGAATCATCCACATGTTTTCAAAGGTAGATACGATCCTAATGGAGCGCAGACTTGGCTCAAGGAGATTGATAGGATCTTTCGAGTTATGGATTGCTCAGAAGCACATAAGGTGTGGTTTGGTACGCATCAACTGGCAGAGGAAGCTAGTGACTGGTGGGTTGGCACCCGTTAGAGACTGACATCGGTTGGTGAAGTCATTACTTGAGTTGTGTTTCAGCAAGGAGTTTCTGAGGAAGTACTTCCCCGATCATGTAGGAGGGAAGAAAAAGATTGAGGTTTTGGAGTTGAAACAAGGGAACTTGACTGTGACTGAGTATGCTTCGAAGTTTGTGGAACTGACCAAGTATTTTCCATATTACAGTTGTTAATTCTCTATTCTTAGGATTGACATTAATTTTAGTAAAACAAATATAGCAGCAATATCTTAGATAAGATGTGTTAACTTGCTAAACAGGAACAGGTTTAGCAAGAAGTCCTATCTTATGAAGGAATATATTGAGTTGAAGTGTTTCAACATCTGGAGTAAGATGTCAGATAAGATGTCTAATGCATGGTCATACGACATCGCACCTGAGCTGAGCTGAACATTTGGATTCTGTTATGATTTAACAAATATAGAATATTCTAGGAATATTATGAAATATTTTGTGGCGATGATTTATAGGTCAAGAAGAATCAAGAAGAATATTGAAGAATATTTACTTTCTAAATAAGGAGACTTTTTAGGAAAGATTTGATTGAAGAACTATTTCGTAACAAAATATTCTACAATTTTGTAACAACTAAAGATCTGTGATTTGAAGCCCAAATCTAGTTGGGAGATAGCTTATAAATAGAAGCATTGTAACCTAGGTAAAGGTATCAGCTGAGAATTAAAATGATGTAACCATCAGGGTTGAGTTTGTACCACTCTATAGGATAGTTGGTTGTGTAATTCACTTGACATGTGAGTTGGATTGTGTTCCTTGAATTGCAAGGTTCCGTTATCACTCAAAAGCCTTTAGATAATGAGTTGATTATTGTTCTCCTCGAAGCTGTGAAGCAAGAGTGAGTATTATTCTAAGAGGAAGATTTTAAGCAACTCCAAGTTGTGTTCTTAGTTAGGAGTAAAGTAAACGGCAAAGTTTAGATTTAGGTCTTGACTGAATATGGGATGTTTATCTAAGATATTTTGTCCAGAAAACATGTCTTGGATTCGTGGGCTAGTTAAATGTTGATCAACCAATTGGTTACTTCTTGGTTCA